TATGCAAGCACTGGGTACAGTCAGAAGCGCAGGAGGGTGAGAGAATTCACCAGAGCCAGAGCGGGGAGCAGAGCAGGCAGAGGGACCGAAGTACACTGCTGAGGGGAGCAGCGGGCGGCAGGAGAGGTCTACGCGCCATGTGGGCCCCTTCTCCGGTGGCCAGGGAGCAGCAGGGGATCGAACCGGCGGCGCAGAGGCTGCGGGCAGCTCCGTAACCCAGCGCTCAACTGCTGCACCACCGGGGAGGCCCATCAGCTTGTAATTTTTTTTTTTTTTTAAGATTTATTTTTATTTATTTATTTATACAAGCACTGGGTACAGTCAGAAGCGCGGGAGGGTGAGAGAATTCACCAGAGCCAGAGCGGGGAGCAGAGCAGGCAGAAGGACCGAAGTACACTGCTGAGGGGAGCAGCGGGCGGCAGGAGAGGTCTGCGCGCCATGTGGGACCCTCCTCCGGTGGCCGGGGAGCAGCCGGGGATCGAACTGGCACTGCGGAGGTGCGGGCAGCTTCGCAACCCAGCGCTCAACCGCTGCGCCACCGGTGAGGCCCCAGCTTGTAATTTTGAACCCACCTTCCCCTTAGGACAAAAAAAAGTAATGCTGGGAATTGTACTAAAATAGCCTTGAATCTACAGATCAATGTGGGCTGAACTTACATTTTTATTATATTGAATCTTCTAATTCAAGAGGCTGCTATATCTTCATTAGCTTTATTTTCTCAAAGAATTTCAGTCTTTCTGAGTAAAGGGTTTTGTACATCTTTTGTGGGTTAGTTATAAACTTAATTTTTTGATAGTGCTGTAAATGATCTTTCTTAAATATTTTTAAATATACTTGATTTTTGTTTGTTGAGCTATTCAGCAAATTTGCTAAATTCACTTATTCTAATTGTATATATAGATTATTTTGCATTTTCTACATGTATCATTTACAGCCTGTAAAAAAAGGAGGTTTTATTGCTTCGTTTCCAATTGTTTTATTTTCATTCTTTTTTTCTCTAGTATTCACTGTGAACTCTAGTCAATGTTGAATAATGATGGCAGTTTATACTTGCCACATTTTTAATCTCAAGAAGTGAACTTTCAGTATTTCACCACTGAGTATAATGATCCCTGTAGGTTTTCTTGTAGCTACCCTTGACCAGATTAAAGAATTTTCATCTCTTTTTAGTTTCTTAATTTTTTAACATGAATGGATTTATCAAATAAATTTCTTCTTTCTATGGAGATAATCATACACTGTTTCTTCTTTATTTTATTAAAGTGAATTACAGCAATTGACATTTCAGTGTTAAACCAAACTTGTGTTTTTTGGAATAAATCCATTTTGATCATGATATGTTATCTTTTCCATGTATTGTTCAATTTCTTTTGCTAATATTTTGTTTAGGATTTTGGTGTCTATGTTTATGAAGAGACTGGTCAGTAATTTTCCTTTCTTGCAATGTCCTTGTCAAGTTTTGGTATCAGCATTATGCTTGTCTCCAAAAACTCCTTTGCTAGTGACATCCCTCCCATTGCCCCCTCACTTTTCTCTGAGAGTGGTTGTGTAATATTGGTGTTATTGCATCCTTAAATCTTGATAGAATTTACCAGCACGTTACCTGGGGCTGAAGTTTTCTGTGAGAATTATTTTTCTGTTTTGTTTCTAAGTTACTTTCCTTGTGTTTGTTTCTTGGCACTTTTACTTGATTTGTCTAAGTTTGATTTTCTTTATACTTATCTCTCTTGGGGTTAAGAGAACATCTTGGATATTTGGCTTGATATTTTTTACGATTTTTTAAAAAGATTTATTTATTTATGCATACAAGAGCTGGGGTACAGGCCAGAGGTGTGGGGGCGTGAGAGGATTCACCAGAGACAGAGTGGGGAACAGAATAGGCAGATGGACTGAAATACACTGCTGAGGGGAGCAGCGGGCGAGTCAGGAGAGGGTCTGCTGCACCATGTGGGTTGCTCCCTGGCCTGCCAAGCAGTTGAACTCGTGCTGCAGAGGCTGCGGACAGCTTCATAGGTTGTGTCTTAACCCCTTGCGCCACCAGGGAGGCCCCACAAGTTTGTTATTTTTTAATCAAAGCATCTTGCAAAATATTCTGTATTAGTCGTTGTATAAGTAAAGCAGCCACCTTCCTGTAATCACCGAAGGTAAAGTTATGGGAAAATCCATAAACCTGAAAGTGATTTAGCCCTTTATGGTGCTTTACAAAGTAATTAATACACAGCAAGTTCTAGGATGGTGTCATATAGGAGGTGCTATATGTATTTCAAGATGATTAGTATTGATTTTGTTGTAGTATTCTTTATGCCCTGTTAACACATTCCAGTTTTTCAGGGAAGAGGGAAGAGGAAATCTGAAATTCCTTTGTATCCAGTTGAACAAAGCTCAAAACCAACACTTAAAACTAAGATCAAAGTTTATACCATACCTTTGATAAATTGAGCTTCAAAGCCCAAGGTTTAGACTTTGTGCTTTTCTTTGAATGGTTTAATTAATTAATCTGCCACTTTTCCAGACATCCCTCTCACCTATTATAATTACCTAGAGTTCTCCCGGATGGGAAATTAGCCATGTAGCTGGAGCGTTAAGTGGATAATAGTGTCTCTTAATGACGTCCTTAGAGATTGCTTTAGATTTAAGTGTTTTTTTCTTACAAGAATGGACATGTTTTTTCTTCAGAGTAAATGGAGAGAATATTCTTCAGGGTTACAAATTGTGATATTATTCTTGAAACTAACAGAAATTTAAAATTACTTTGTCATAACAAGTCCAGAAAATTTGGTAAGCAGAAGTCATACGACATCTTATTTAATTGGTTAATTTGATATTAAAGAATGAATTTCATTGTTGGAATTAGTTGGCATCAGGTTCTGTCTTTTAAAGCCTTCTTGTTTATTTTAGCCCTATACTGAAATTTATGAATGAAGTTATGTGATATCTGATATTTGCGACAAAGTAATATGAGTGGCATATAAGTTAGGACATAGAAGAAACAAGAATTGCCAAGAGTTGGTATTTGTTTAGGCTAGAAAAATGAGTATTTAAGGATTGGTAATGCCAATCTGCGAACTTTGGCATATGTTTATGATTATCCCTAATAAAAGTTAATAAAAAATTGAGTAAAATATTAAATGAGTTAATACCATCAAATCCCAACTAGCTGGAAGAAGACATGAACAAAGACTGAATTGGTGCTTTCTCAAGTTCCATGAAGAAGGAATTCATGGTTTACGCTTCTTTATATATGGACCTTTTATATTTTTTGGATGAATGAATGATCTTTATTCTTGTTACTATAAAAAAAACTGCAGTGTATCATTTTAGAAATATCACATATTCACGCAAACTGTATTTTATTAGTAACCTCTCAGTAAGTTGTGCCCATCATGTTCACTTTATCCGAGCAGAAACATAGATTCATTCTAGATTCTTCCCTTTACTTCATCCTTATATCTGGCCCATCACAAATTTCTGTTGGTTCCATTTCCAGAGTATACCCCCTAACTGACTCCCTCATGCTACCTCATTCAGTCATCTGTCATTTACTGCCTAGATGACTGCAACAGTCATATATCACTGGTAGGAAGAACAGGTACAACCCAGAGTCCTCTTGTTCTCCCATTCTCACATTTGTCCCTCTGAAGTCTATTCTCTCAGAAGAGGCTGAGTGATTTTTTAATGTAAATTAGGTTATTCATGCCTCCTGATAAAATCAGTGATTTATAGTAAACTTAAAATACAATTCACCTTTCTCATCATGGCAAACGAGGTTGTGTGTTCTGGCTCACTTAGTATAGGTTTCACTTATTCACTTCTGTTCTCTAAACATAGATACATCAGACAGATTCTGCCCTGGAGCCATTGTCCTTTTTCTTTTGCCTGCACCTGTTTCCAAACTTCTGGGTATGACAGGTCCTGTAGATCTTGGCTCAAGTTGTCACCTCTTCAGAGGTACCGTCCTTAAAGTGTAGTTCCTTCATAATACTGATTATAATCCACTGCTTCACTTGTTCATTTATTTCCTCCAGTAGAAGCCCTATCTTCTCTGTCTGTCACATGTCCAACCTCAAAAAAAAACAACATTTTAGTGAAATTTAAGAGATGATCAGTTGTAAGATACTTTATTATGTTATGTTCCACCAAGAAAAACAGTGCAAATTAAGCTATGGACAGTGCTAAAGACTATTGACTGTAAGATAATTTAGACTTTTGAGATATTAAAATGTTGAAAAAAGAGCCTCCCTGGTAGTACAAGAGTTACACTGCACTATCAAGCTACTATCAGCCACTACAGAATGAGTTCGATCCCCGGCTGGCCAGGGAGCAACCCACATGGCTCAGTAGACCTCTTCTGTCTCGCCTGCTGCTCCCCTCAGCAGTGTATTTCAGTACATCTGCCTCTTCTGCTTCCCTCTCTCTCTGGTGAATCTTCTCACACCCCTGCCCCCGCACCTCTTGCTTACACCCCAGTTCTTGTATGCATAAATAAATAGAAAATCTTTTTTTAAAATGTTGGAAAAAACGCACCATTGAATTGATGAAATATGTATCTTACAGAATATAAGTGAATGCATTTAGATTAATTATGATTAATGTTTGCTAGTGATATTTTCTGGAAAAGATGAACACATAGAAGCCAAGAGATTGATAGGTCATGAGAGGTATTTTATTATGAGAAAAGAAATATAATATTAGTATCAAGTATGAGTAATTCAGTGGATTGTAAGTTGCATAGTGTAAAATACCAGCTAACCAACAATGATTCAAAATTTGTAGGTCTTGGGTTGGCTAGAAAACTTTGAAGAAAAACATGGTAATAATTATTTTGGTACTATATGAGATAGGTACCAAAGTGGTTACTATTTATAATGTTAGGAATCTTGAAAAGTGAGAATAATCCTTTACTGCAATCCTGAAATAAGCAATACTGTATGGAAAAAAAAAAAGAGAGATAGCCTAATAACCGGAAACTTTTTTTTTTCTCCCATCTGCTCTTCACACAGGTACAACTTGGCCAAGTAGAAATCAAATGCCCTATCACAGAATGTTTTGAATTCCTGGAAGAAACAACGGTTATCTATAACTTAACACATGAAGACTCCATAAAATATAAGTACTTCTTGGAACTTGGCCGTATTGATTCCAGCACCAAACCATGTCCTCAGTGCAAGCACTTTACAACCTTCAAGAAAAAAGGACATATTCCTACCCCTTCCAGATCAGAAAGCAAATACAAAGTAAGCATGTTCACCAGAGTTGTGGGTTAGATGTCACATGATGGGAGCAGCCAAATTAGGCCAACTTGTGGTGGGCATTAAATGGGCTTCCTCCCCTTACCAGAGTCTAAGGTGAGTATATATTGGCTGTGATTCTGAAAATGTATGGTTTGGGGAAGTCGATGATAACTGAATATTGTCAAGGATTTAATTATAGCATTTTCACTGACTTTAACCATGTTTAAAATTCATCTAATAGCCTTATTAAAAGGCTGGCCTATAAAGTAATACTCATTTATATTATTAATATTCAATAACTGCCAAGGCCCTTTCAAAAAAATTTTATATAGCTTGATTTTTCAATGAACCCAGTGTGAGACTTCCCAGATATGCCTGTAATAAGTGAAAACAGTATAAAATGTTATTCATTCATTTATTAGTAGGTATAAAATGCCAGTAAATGCTAGGTACTGAGCTAAATTTGAGTTTACAGAGACAAATGTGACATAATACTTGCTCCAAAAGTCTAATGAACATTAGAGACATATGTTCTAAAATGATAGTTCTATGAGTCATCAAAAAACTAAAACAAACAAAAAGACCCACAAAACCCATTATATTGCGTTTTGAGAACACCAACAGAGGAGTAGTGGCAAGGATATTGGAGAAGCTTTGAAAGAAGATGCAGTTCTCTGGGAGATAAACTGTGGAGAGCATTTCAGAGCAAAGGATGAGCAAGAGTTGAGGTTCAAATGCTGAGGCAGCTGCGGCGCCAGTTCGATCCCCGGCTGCTCCCTGGCCACCGGAGGAGGGTCCCACATGGCGCACAGACCTCTCCTGCCGCCCGCTGCTCCCCTCAGCACTGTACTTCGGTCCTTCTGCCTGCTCTGCTCCCCGCTCTGGCTCTGGTGAATTCTCCCACCCTCCCGTGCTTCTGACTGTACCCAGTGCATGTATAAACAAAAAACAAACAAATAAATAAATAAAAGCATGCCTCTATAAAAAAAAAAAAAAAAATCTTTAAAAAAAAAAAAAAACAAATGCTGAGGCAGGCTGGTTGGAAATAAATGCTTGTAAAGCTAATGGAGAAAAGGTAGGGTGAGGTAGCTGGTCAGGTATTAAGAGATGTTTGGAATATTTTATGCTGAACTCAGAAATTTGAATTTAATTCCGTAGACATTACAAAAAGATCATTCTGGAAGCATTAATAGAGGATATCCCAGGAGGGTAAGATTGAAGGCAGAGAAGCCAAGCTGTCAACGAGGGGAGCAAATGATTGATTCAGTCAGGACTGTACATTAGCTTTACCTGATGATCTTTTAAACACATCAGGTCTCCCTTTTACCACCCTGCCCACTCACCTCAGAACAATTTTCTTGCAAATTTTTGAGACCTGGGAGGTAACTCTAATATGAAACAAATTTGGGAACCTTTGCAGTAAATGAAGCAGAAAAATGATGAGGCCTGTAGCAGTAGTTTTCATCCTTGTCATTACAGCAAAATGGCAGGATGAAGTGGTTTCAAGGGCTGTTTCAAGTCATCTTCATTTAAGGTAAGTTTTTTGCCCATGTTCTGTATGTTGGAAGCAGTGGAGGCAAATTCATTCTGTAGCTTTGAGGAGACTAGGGTTTAGGAAGTAGTTTTCTCCATCTTTGCAATGATGAACTAAAGGAGTAGCAGGTTAGTCAGGGCCTCTTGGTGAGTAACTGGTCTTTGAAACTGCTTAACTTTTTTAGTTACGACTTTTGTGTAGCCTGGTTTCTTTAAGACATGATTACGGGCCTCCCCGCTGGCACACCAGGTTGAGTGCAGCGCTGTGAAGCTGTCCGCAGCCTTTCCAGCACCGGTTTGACTCCCTACTGGCCAGGGAGATGCCCACATGTCGAGGCAGACCTCTCCTGTCTCGCCCGCTGCTCCCCTCAGCAGTGTATTTCGGTCTTTCTGCCTGTTCTGCTCCCCGCTCTATCTCAGGTGAATCCTCTCACTCTCCGGCACCTCTGAACTGTACCCCAGCGCTTGTATAAATAATAAATAAATTAAAAAAACAAACGACATGATTATCTAGAAAACGTTTTTTTCTTCTTCAAAAAGCTGGCTTTTTAGGATTACAATATTATTTAACTAAAATAATACCCTCACAGTGATTTTTGAATGTTGACTTAGTAGCAAGAGAATTTTACTTGACTCTCTATTCTTAGGTTATTTTAAGTCATTTTTATTCCACTTATATGTTATTGATATTATCAGGAAATTACTAGTTTCTAAAACTACTGCTTGTTGTTCCATAACGTAGGATATTTGATTTTTTAAAATGATGTTTAGAATTGTTATTCACATTTTACATGTGTTTGCTTATATAGCATATGTTTATGATATATATGTAATCTATAATATGTAATAAACTCAGGCTATTGTTTTTGAATTTGTGACAATCAAAACATTATCCATAATTGAATCAAATTGGAAATAATTTAGTCATTTTAAAATGTAATATTCTTATGAATGGGTAAACAGAGTAAGGTGCAATTTAGCAATAGTGAAATATTATATCTCATCTCATTCAAAATCACCAAATCATGTTGTGATATTTATCATAATGCATATGTATTGCGAGTGAGATATAGAAAAATTGAGAAATATAAGATCCTGTACTTGTATCATTCTGAGTAAACTAAGAAAACTCTGGTAACATTTTCCAATGTTCAGACTTCCTTCAGTGTCTTATCAGAGGGTTGTAGGCAAGAGAAGTCAGGGGTGGGTGTGGCAAATGGATCAAGATCTCAAATCTAGTCAACTCGGATGTTTTACTTTTGATGAGCAAAGGAGAAGGAAATTTGCTTCAGAAAGAGAGGGAATTCAATACAAAATGAATGTGTTTATCATGAAGCAGTTAATTAATGGGAATGGGTGAAGGATAAAAACGTCAATATAAAGTGAAACTACTGAGCAACTTTTAACAAAAGTAAAACTACCACAGAATTTTCGCATGAATCTTAACTACTCTTGTATGAAAGAAAGTCTACAACAGAAAAGATAAAAAATCTCAAAAAACTCCCTGTTCTTTGTTGTCTAGAGTTCGCAATATAATTCATACAGTTCCTGAAGCAATGATTTTCCCTATTTAATACAATATTTATGTATTTTTTTCTCCATTAAACACTACATTTTTACATAACCATTAACTACCCGATTTACATGGCTATCCCTCTCTGGAAAGTATGTGTTAAGGAGAAAATGGACTGGGTACTCTGGCAAACTAATTCTGACATTCATGAATTAAAGTACAGCACTCTAAACTGAGACTAATGCCTTTACTCTTTGTAATGAAACAATGGATATATTTTAGTTTGCCATATTTTTAAAATTCATTTTCCCTAATAATGGAATCTACTTCCAACTTGGTGCAGTTTATCATAACTTTAAGAATAGTGAGTTCACATAATAAAGTGCAATAAATTGAGTGTTAAGACAACAACAATAGAAAAACAAAGGTTACCGTAAAGTGAAACATGCCTAAAAAATGAATAACTATAAGAAAGTGAAAATCAAAATCAACAAAAAACTATGAACCAGAGACACTTTTTTAGGGGGTGGGGGCGGGAGGGGAGGGATTGGGGTCAGAATGGGGGGGCTGCAATTGTATGGGGAATATAACAATAAAATTTATTATTAAAAAAATAAAAAAATATATATAAAATCTCTTAATAATATTGTTTACAGCCTAAGGTGTGCTTTGTATCTATTGACAAAACCTTTATGATGCATATTTTAATATTATTCTTTTTTGAGTCATTGAGCACAATGTCTTGATCTAAGGCATCACTGTCTGAGCATTTATTATGGTTTCTGCAAACAATGCAGAAACACTTAATGTAGAAGGTTAAAATTGCCTGAAAATATCTCAGTACTTTATATCAGAAAATACTTTAGCACTTTTTGTAGGAAATTTGAAATCTAATTTCAAATTCCACATATGGGGGTTTCATTTAAATAGGTTTTTGTAAATACTGATTGTTAATTTTTTTGTACTGAGCACATAGAAAAGGGGTAAATAATAATATCAACAGGCAATAACAAGAACTCTTAGGTCTCAGTTTATCTTTCTAGTCTCAACAACTCCTTCTGGTTTAAGTTTGAGTAAATGCAGCTTATCATGATGTTCTAAACTCCATTAAACTGGCACTATACAGCCTGATCAAGTGCATTCTTCAATGGAGTTATGAACTTGAGGCAACCTTGCCTTTGGTCACATCTAGTCTTATTTGTATTTGTGTCTTCTTGTCCCTGTATCTCTTACAATGAGGCCAAAAAATGGTTTTCCATTCCACTTGTACAAGGTCAATTTTAATATCCAACTAGAAATCTAATTTCTAACCTATAAAGTTCCTATAATTTAGAAACAAAACTCCAACTGCTTATCAGTACAGGCAACAAGATAGAAGTGGGAAAATAAAAATGTTGAAATTGTGGCTGTAATGGTGCTCATGTGAGATCTGGGAAACATCACCAGCATTTACAGTTTTTCTCTATAGTAATTATCATCTGGGGTTTTATGGTGTATTTGTGTAGCTGTTTACTTAAAGTCCCTCTTTCCCACTGGTCTCTAGGAGACCAGGTTTGCATACTGCTGATTACCTGTGTCAAGCACTATCTAATAAAGTATACCCTCAAAATATATTTGTTGAAGGAACTAGCAAATGGGTCAATGCATGAATAATAATGTGTACTATAATATATACATGTGGAGAATGCTGGGAGCATAGGGAAGGAAAAGACAGAAGAGATTGGAAGAGTTCATTAAAAAGGAAACATTAAACTAAACCATGAAGTGTTCAATTTGCAAGAGCACTGGCTTCAGGGGCCTCCCCGGTGAAGCCAGGGGTTAAGACGCAGCCTCTGAAGCTATCCATAGCCACTGCAGCACGAGTTCAATCCCCAGCCAGGGAGGTGACCCACTTGGTGTAGCAGACCTCTCTTGTCTCGCCCTCTGCTCCCCTCAGCAGTGTATTTCAGTTAGTCCG